ATGGAGACCTGTGAACCTCGCCTAAGGTCTGTCATCGGCATCCTCGTGTTTTTACCTTGGTGCTTCTCGATTATCTCCCTCGGAGGTTACGGTTATCTACTGAGGGACTGGCGGTGGCTTATGTTCACTGTATCTATGCCGGGGCTCCTCTATTTGCCTATGCTATGGTCAGTTTCATGGAATAAGTACATTTTTTTATAGTCTTTTTTTGTGTAGTTTCTTGTTATTCTGAGGTTATTTGATTGTTCTGGTTATATGACGTTTTTCTGTATTGTAATCACATATTTTTCCGCCTTATTTTGAAGAATTCTACTATTCTAAGGTTACGTTAGTATTTTTCAGCATTCTAATTACATCGACTTTTTTTTTTCATTAGTCTATCATACGGATCCTACAGTTAACCCTATTTTCTTAATGTCTGGAGAGTATATCACCTATTAAAAGGCCTTTTTTTAAAATAAAGACACGTTTGTAACCGCCACGTTCCCCTCTACAAACAGGCTAATGGACGAATCACCCAGGTGGCTCATCGTCAGGGGCAGACACGCAGAGGCCCTTCGTGTACTGCGCCGAGCCTCACGTTGGAATAAAGTTGAGCTTCCGTCGGAGGAACATCTGTACGCGATCATGAAGGAGACGCAGGCGGAGGTAGAGGCTGGATTAAGAATTATGAGATTGGCATTAGGCATTGTGAATTGGGTGGAATAGGTTGGAGGAAATGGCAGAACGACTTTCAAAGGGTTGTTGGTAGTGATTTTTTTTTTTTTTTTTTTTTGTGTGTGTTTGTGTGTGTGTGTGTGTGTGTGTGTGTGTGTGTGTGTGTGTGTGTGTGTGTGTGTGTGTGTGTGTGTGTGTGTGTGTGTGTGTGTGTGAGTGAGTTTGTGTGTGCAAAAAATATCGGTCCTAATTAAAAAAAGAAAGAAAGAAGAACAATACTAGATTTATTTTTAGAGCATTCACGCTTTGCCCAAAGACCATAATTTTTTTTTCTGCACTTCAGAGTTTAGCGGAAAGGCTTGTACGTATACAAACATCACATACTTGTATATTCCTAAGTATACATCAGATATCTTTTGGCTGGTTGTTTGTGCATAGTTCGCAGGGTCAACTGGCGGTTGAAATTCATACTAAACGAATTTTAACCAATTTAAAGGAGAGCTCGACTCGAAACTCTCACATTTATCATTGTCCACTGTATTACAGCAATTATAGTGTATTACGACATACTGAAAGGTTGTCATTATTGGTGTGACGCTCTGCAATTTCAGTTCATTTCTACCTTTTTTGGAAACGTATGGATTAAAAAATAACGAAACTCAGAACATCTTCAATGTTTTGAATGGTTTGATCAAGACCGATTATGACACAGCTAAAAGAACACAATCTTTTATAATATAATCTGCAAATTTCCGCATATAGAGTAACATAAAAAAAAAATCCTATCTTATAATCTTTTTATAAATCCTCATATTTTTTTTTCCTTATTTATTTGCATCTAAAATCTTCCCAAGCCTATAGTAATTCTCTAATTAAAATGACAACTTTCTGTAATGCCCTGGACAGGAAACCGATTCCCAACGGCGTGAGGTTGATCATCCTCGTGGACTGAAGACTACCCTGAAAAACGTAGCCGATGTAGTTGCCGTTCTGTTTAGGTTAGTAGTTGGTCTGCCTTGTGGAATCGTGGTTCTTGTTGAGTTGGTATATATATATATATATATTATATATATATATATATTATATATATATATATATATATATATATATATATATAATCTTTTTATATCGCGCACACACATACATACACACACACGCACACACACACACACACACACACACACACACACACACACACACACACACACACACACACACACACACACACACACACGTATATATTTAAATATATATACACATACACACACATGCCCACACATTTACATATTTACACATGCACACAGACAATAATAGTAACAGAATAACCATAATCCTAATAATAAACATATAAACATACCATTACATATATCCAGCACACATTTACACATAAACATACTGATACTCATAAATGTTATTATTGTTATTCTTATTATAATTATATCATTAGCAATTATTAGCACCATTATTATCTTTATTAGTAGTAGTATCATTGTTATTATAATCTCTATTATTATTATCATTATTACTATTATTATAATCATTATCATTATTATTACTATCATAACCATTATATCATTATTGTTATTACAAGTATTATTGTTATTGTTCTCTATCTTATTTTTTATAGTTACCGTGATTGTTACCATCATTATTATTGTGTTTGCTACTATCATTATTATCATTATTGCTGCTATCACTAACCATCATTATCATTATTATTGCATTTTTATTATCATTATCCTCGATATTGTTATCATTATCATCATTACCATCATATTCATCGATATTATCATTATCATTGTCCGTATTACCATTATTATTATCATTAGTAGTAGTAGTAGTAGTAGTATCTTAACTATCACGATCATTATTATCATCATCATCATAATCATCATCATTATTATCATTGTTATTGTAATTGGTATTATTCGTTTTATCCTTATCATTACTACCATCATTATCATTATCACGATTATTATCATTATTGTCATTATTTTTGTCATTTTTATCATTATCATTGGTATTTATCATTATTTTCGTTAATATCATAATCATTATTGATGTTATCATCATCACTTTTACCATTGAGTAGTAGTATGTACTACAGAAATAAAAATAGTAATGGTGAAAACAACAGTATTAAATTAATTACAATCACCTGAAAACACCCACTCTTTAACCTCTTTCAGAACCAGAAAGATTCGAACGATAACACTCTGCTTGTACGCCAACTTTTTCCTGGTGGATTCTGTGTACTACGGTCTCTCTCTCGGAGGCGATAGGTTCGGTGTTGATCCTTATGCCTACATGGCCTTAGGAGGTGTGATGGAGACACCGGCCAACAGCATAACGATTGCTTTGGTGGAGAAACTGGGAAGGAGGGCTTCGAATATCATGTGTTTCGTTATCAGCGGTGTTTCACTTCTGGCTCTCGGGGTTACGCCATCAAGTTAGTTTGTTGGGATGTTGATGTTATATTTGGAGAGGTTGGTATTCAGTCTTTTAAAGAGCGAGGTGTTTTTTTTTTATTCTTATTTTTTTGAATGGGTTTTAGCACCTCTTCTGAAAATATACGAGTGATGTGTAATATGGTATATTTCTTGCAGGTATGAACTCTTTGGTGACAGCTATAATCATGATAAAGAACCTGTCTATCACGATATTTAATTTTAATGCCAGTGTATTAACTTGAATCGAGTTTAAAGAATATTAACACCTACCCTGAAAATATACAAGTGATGCATAACGTTAAGTATTTCCCTCAGGTATTAGCTGGTTGGTGACGACGATGATAATGATAGGAAAACTGGCCATCACCGCAGCCTATATGATGCTCTACTTCCACGCGAACGAACTCTTTCCGACCGAGGTGCGACAGCGGGGTATGAGCACGTGCGCGATGGTGGGGAAAATCGGCTCTGTAGCGGTGCCTTTCCTGGTGGAGATTCTGGTGGGATAATGAAGCTCTGTCTTTATTTATCTTTTTATTTTATTGATCTTTTCATATGTACAGTAACTTGTGTTAACTTAAAGGTTTATTGTTTCAGAAAAAAAATATTAACAGGATAGTTTAATAAATGATTTATAAAGCCAGGTTATCCTATAGGGTCTGTTTATATATAGTGGATTCAGTAAAAGTACCTGCTACTGCAGGTTCTTAAATCTTCAGTGTCGTAACAGAAGGAGAAACATTACAAGACAAAATCACACAAACTCGAAACAAAACATAAACAAGTTACATCAGCAGACTTTCAAGAGCCAAACCTTGATCCTCAAAAAGACAAAATACATATGTGTGTGTGTTTTAACCTTCCCCCTCAGGCTTCCATCGGGTCGTGGGTGCCCCTCGTAACCTTCGGGGGAGCCTCGTTAGTAGCAGCTGGGATCATGACCAGGCTGCCGGAGACTCGAGGGGTTCCCATGAAAGACACAGTTGCAGAGCTGGAGGATTCGGGTGTCCATCGACCACGCAGCAGGTAACATGGCTGGGAAAATAACGATCTGAAATCCCAATTTAAAGTATATAAGCGCGATTGGATGTTATTGAATGTTAGATGATTTATTTGTGGTTAAGATTTAGATAGTAGGAACGGATGATTTAGTGAATGAATGGAGCCCATATGACTCTCACATTGCATACAGTAATTGGCTGAGGCTCACATTAACTATGCACGAAAATTGCTTGCTCTTACAAAATGTCTAGGGTAGTTCCTAATACCTTTACAGATTTTGTTCTTTACCTTAACCCCAGAATTTCTAAAGAACTAATTAAAAAATATGAACTAATAACAAAATCTTATTTCACTTTAATCTTTCAACAGGAAATGCATATGAACCCGATTTTTCAGTTAAAGGGTAGCATTAATAGTAAAGATATGCAATTCTAAAATTTCATGTTTCAAATTTTGACCCTTAGCACTCTCATTGCAAAACCCAAGAGTCCAAGAACCTGAGATTAAGAAGCATCATTTTAGGTCAGTGGTTTTCAATGTCTCAGGTCACATTTTGCCGTTTCGCTATGAAGCTACCTTAATTCTTCTCCTTTTTAAAATCATTATACATCTTTCTTTTATAATGACAATAACTCAAATAGTCTGTAGAGCGAAAATATTTAATTCATTATGGGAGGAATGGATATTAAGAAATTCTTACATTTTCATTGTAACACAATATTTCTGCTAAAATAATGCCTATTCAGGCCGATGAATAATGATTAGTTAATGCCCTTACATAGGTATTTTATCAATCAATATCCGTACACAGTGTAGTGAATACACCATCTCCCTTTGCCTTGAATGATATGAAAAGGCCAATCACTCCAAACTACCATTCTATAAGCATTA